ATTCATCTCAGGAAAACCTGTGCAATTCAGGAAATATGAGGATATAAATGTCAGTGTAATGAGGTTCAACAAAACAGCTTTAAAAAACATCAAATTAGAAAAGTCTATGCCTAAAATTAACAGTGAGAGGGTGGCCAAGAGGCTCTGCAAAAAAAGCCCAAAGGAAAGAGCAGACAACAGGCATACCTAATGCAGAAAACAAGGAAAAAGGCAATTTAGAGATGAAAAAAAGCAGGTTGTATTCAAAGAGAACAAAATAGGCCTTTCAAGAGGCTTAGAACTTTGTATAGCCTAACCCAGTGGTTCTCAGCCTTTTTCGATACAAGGCACCTCTCTAACCTTTGTGAACTGAGAAGCCCTCATTTTGAAAACTAACTCCTTTGCTACAGTGCTTTTATCTTTGCAAAGGGACCAGGCACTGGGGCCCAGGAAGCAGCAGTGCAGGGAGAGGAGAGCCTGTGCCTGCCCTTACCTGCTTATCTTCTCACACTTCCTGTGGCACCCGTCTAAGGTTCCTGCAGCACCCTAAGGCTCCCTGGCACCCTGGTTGAGAATCACTGGTTTAACCTGCTTTTAACCCTAATGGGGCATTTAACCCTATTGCAATCACACATCCCTTTCTGCCCATGTCTTGTAACTATAACTATTTATAGTTAGCCGGGTGCCTCACAATCTTCCTAGGTTCTTTCCTCACCTCACTATCTCACAAGGGTGTTGTATTATTACTGCTGTTTCATAGGTGGAGAACTGAAGTCCAAAGGGATCAAGTGATTTGTCTAAAGTTGGCCAGGATAATCTCTGGTGGAGCTGGCAACTGAGCCTGGTCTCCCAAGTTCCAGGCCTATACTCTAACCACTGGACCATCCCCTCTCAGCTGTGCCTCTCTCCCCAGGTTTCTGGAACAGCTTGGCAGATGGAATGATCTGGCTTGGTTAACCTCTGTTGGTTAATGGTTAAAATTTTACTTTTGAAAAGTAAAATCTTTTTGTGGTTGGTCTTTAGAATAATGGTTCTGTGGCAAACATCTAAAAAATGTGGTGGTGTTGGGATGAGCCATGGTGGTCCAGGAAAAATGCAAGAGACTAGGATTTTTTTGTGGGTGAAGTATTGTGGACCTAACTGTAAACATCTTTAAAGTCCCTCCCAACTATGCAGGTGGTCCACTAGATTAGAAGACATAAGACACAATAATTCTTGCCTCTAGCAAAAATATAGCATTTGTGCTCAACTTCTTCAAATATACTCAGTAACAACTTGATATTCATAAAAATAGACTTTTGGACTCTTAGTTGAGATAAACACTGGTTCCATTACATTACTTAAAAGAAAATTAGCATATAGAAACATGCAGATTATGTGCCCTGATTGTAAGGGACTATTAAATATTGTAATCAGGACCTATTTCAAATATATTTTATGAGTTTCTAAGTAGACTAAGCATCAAGGAAAAAGCATCAGCTCACTTTATAGACATTTTTTTTCAGATGAAACCAAAAACATTTTTAAAACTCATGTCTGATTCAGCTAAGGAAAAATGCTGTGATTTTAATCAGCCTTTTCACATGGTTTTAGAGACTAGCCCTATTGATTTCTATTTCAGACCCTGTACACACCTGAAGTGAAATCCTGGCTCTATTGAAGGCAACGGCAAAACTCCATTGTTCACTCCAGTGTAGCTGATTTCACCCCTAGCCCTTGGAGCCATTTGGGGCACCTTTTATATGGGTAGAGGCACTAAAACCTCCTGATTCTATTTTACAGTTCTCTTACCTATTTCAGTCATAGGAATGTACTCCTAGGGTATCTCCACTGTTACATCAATGGCTAGCTAGAGTTAGGTCAATCTCATTGCCTATATGTGAAGGCATTTAGAGGACTTAAAAAAATGGCAGGCCCGATCTAAGTTAGTTCACCTGAGGAGGTGATCTAATTTAAATTAGGAATGGGTTAACCCAGTTGTAACAGGAAGCTAGAGGCTCTTGTTACCTTAAGGGGAAAGTGCAGCGGGCCACCCTTGCTGGATGGGCTGACAGCTGAGCAAAAGCTAGTTCTGCTAAAGCTTGTTCTGCGGGACAGGCGGCCATGCAGCCGGAGAGTGAACACTGCAAGCAGCTGAGTTAGGCTGCAGTAGGGAAGGGCAGGCTGGCCATTAGGCAAAAGGGGAAGAAACTCGTACGTGTGGCTTTGGGGTCATATGACTGGAAGGGACAGTGCTTTGGGGCACATAAGCCCAGTGCCTGAAACCAGGGAGGTAGTTTGGCCCTGCATGCTGCTCCTGGGAGTGCTGTGGGAAACTGACTACCAGGCATTCAAGCTACCCAGGAGAGCTGGGAGGAGTAGGCTCCATGGGAAATATGGCTTACACAGTGACATTGACCCAAAGTGGGGAAGACTTCTAGTTTGGAAGTGGCTGCTTGTATTTGTGTTGCATTGCATTTAAGTTTGGTACTGGAGGTCCGGCTTGTGGCTGTAGGGTAGGAAAGACACCATGGAGGGGTGCCTAGTGGGGCACTCTGTAGCCTAGCCTGGGGTCTGGGACTCCAAGGGCTGAGGGCTAGGTGAGTTAAACAAAGGCTGGGAGGGCCAAGGCCATACAGAGTAAAAGGAGCCTGGCTTGGGGTCAGAGGTCTGCAGCACGAGTGCAGAACAGGGCCAGGGCCTCGGAGCCTGTGAGTGTGAGACAGAGCTGGGGCCCAGGAGCCAAGGCCTGGGGCAGTGGACCTGGGTTGAGGGGCTCAGCCAGAATAGAAGGGGCACGGCTGGGAAAACTAAAGCCTGGGCAAAGCTGCACAGTCTGAAGGCCAAAAGCTGCACTGGAGCCATGGGCCCCCCTCCAAATTAATATAGTACGGCATGAGCGTGGCTGTAGGGGAGGACAGAGGCCAAGAATATAGCCCATAAAGCAGCTGGTGCCTTGATGCGCTGATAGGGCCAAGAGGGCCATAGCTTGATGCCTGAGGGGGCAAGGCTGGGGCCAGCTGGGTATGGGAAGTACCAGCCGGCTAAAAACTGAGGCATACTCTGGGACCCTGGGGCAGCCTCCCTAGACATTATACAAGTTTCATCAAGGCACAACAGGCAAGGTAAGAAGGGAGGGTCCCCAAGGAGCTGGAGTAGAAGAGGAATTGCTTGGTCACCAGGGGGCATCACAGCCATCCCAGAGTCTGGATCTGCTTCACGAATCTATAAAATGCCTGTACGCATTTGGAGCGCAGCCCTAGGGCTCTGTTCTTCCTTCCCCCATCCTTCCTGCCCAACCCTGACTGGACAGACAACTCCCCCATGGACCCACTACCCCCCTACCTCCCACAGAGCCTCCACCCCCCATCCCACCTCCCCTTTCTCCCCACCTGGAGTTACTTGCACCAGATGCCCTGCACAGCTCCTAACACCAGCAAATGGCTGTACACGCTCCTCCTAGTCTTGTCATGCAGCTTAAAGTAAACCATGTTGACACAGACCAGGTGCAGCTAACCGTTGTACACACACTCAGGCACCCTCTCCATGTTACATCTATTGTGCAATTACCTTGGTAACTGCCCAATAAACATAGATGGGCTACGTGTGCAAATTAACTACGACTTTAAAAGTCCAGCCAACTATAAAGCTATTGCTTGAAAGTGTGTAATAACTTGATAGCTGGTTTCTATCCAGCTTTAATTTGCTTGCACATGGCTGCAGAGGCTGAGGCCTGTACCTGAGACAGGGGTCTCGGTCCCAGCTCCCTATGTAGCACAGTCAGGACTGAGAGTCTTGCATCTAATGGGGCTTTTGGTCCCTGCTGCACCACACACACAGCTGGGACCAAGAGCCCCATGAGGCAGAGGACTCTGTGCCAGCTGCACATGGCCCTCACAGCTGGAAACTGCCTCAGCAAAAGGGGTTCCCAGCTGTAGGAGCCTGCTTCTTGCCAATGCAAGGGGAGCCAAGGAGCAAGTTCCCCTTACTCCAGTAATAAGGTATGATTGGATTTAATGTGCAATTCCACAGTCACACCTCCTGAATTTATGTGCATGTGTAGAGAGGGCTTAGACAACTAAATGTGCCTCTCATTCATATTAATTTAATAATTTGTAAAGAATTACATATTTGCTGAGCTGGAGCCTTATTCTGATCTCATGCCTCTCTTAAAGTGGAGTAACTTAATTGACTTCATCATACATTAGTTTGACTGCAGCAGGATCAGATGTGGGGATGCACAGGTGTTTCAGCCCTCCTACTGGCTGACCAGCTGCGTATGAATAGCATAGCTACACATTTAAAAGCAAATTATAATTTATAGTATTAATTATTTTCAGGTTCTCTTGATTACTTATGTATAGCAACCTGTTTGTTAGCATACTAGCTATCCAGGCTGAAAACAAACAACTGTTGGTTTCTCAGGAGTTATTGCCAATGCCATAGAAAGGAGTCTCAAAAGTAAATACTTATTTCAAAGTTTTCTAAAATTATATTTTTCTTTAAAAATGTTGCTTTGGGACTAAAAATATAATCTGGTTACGAGTCATTTTCTGAACACTGAGTTTGCTGGGTTTGTTTTCATTGCTGTCCCAAAGACCTGTTGCTGCTACTGAATAGTTTTTTCTTTTTTAGTGGAAAGTCTTGTTCTGACCTAGACATGGTAGAAATAGTTCCCTGGCTTCTCTGATTTCTTATGTGGTTACAGGAACAAACTTTCTAGTTTTAATTTCCCTTGTTACATTCTGCATCAAACCTGATCTGTTTGTCTGTAGGGATGGGCAGTGTGGCCCCAGCATATAATTGCTTTGTATTTACTTATTTCATTATTTAAATGAGAATATACTTGGTCCCAAGGAATTGTATATGTATTGTGAAGCAGGCACACCTACTGGTGGGTACAGTTAGTTAGCTGTGACAGAAAAGGTATGGGAAATGTTTAAAATATCTTTCTTCACATCTATTATAAATGCATTGCAAATGTAATAGCACAATGTTTTCAAGTTGTAAAAGGATGTTTTCTATATCTTATTCTTACTCAGGGACCTTGCTGCAAGAAACTGCCTGGTAGGTGAAAATAATGTCCTGAAAATCAGTGACTTCGGAATGTCTCGTCAAGAGGATGATGGAGTATATTCATCTTCAGGCTTGAAGCAGATTCCCATTAAGTGGACTGCTCCAGAGGCTCTCAACTATGGTAAGCAGATATCATCCTAAACCATTTATTGTTGAATGAGCCCTGCCTAAAACAAAAAGGTATAGAGGGAGCATACCATGGTCTGAATAAAAATGCAGTTTTTTTCTTTGTCCCATTTAAAGGAACAAACAGTTAAAACTTGTCAGTGTAAATAAAGTTGTGTCAGTCCAATTACGGCTATGTATTATACTTCCAGAGGTAAGATTTCCTTTTCCTTGCAATAAACATTTTCCCATCCACAAAGCAAAAGTCAGAGTACTAAAATGCTACTGATTTAACAATTATTATGCCTGTGTAATAATGCTTAGCAAGCAGCTAAATCATTGTGTTAAGTTTGACTTAAAAACCATTATATAAAGCCTAAGCAAAAGTTTTTGTTATATAATTAATGTTTATCTGTAATGATAAGGAGGAGACAGTCTTAGATAAAGGAGGCTTAAAAACAAAAGCAAAATCAGAGGATTAGGGCAAAGAGCTAATTTAAATATTAAAAATCACACCCCTAGGTAAAAAAAAAAAAAAGCTAATAAAACATACATGTATGTAAATAAGATATATAGCTAAAACACAGGTATAGAGACATGCTCAATAAAAAACTCCTTGTGTCACTCCCTTATAACCAATTAACAAACAAGAATGCTTATAGAAGTCTAATATTCCTATATAAAAGATGCTTAAAATTAAAAATCTGTGTGCTTGTTATATAAAATTATTCCGCTTATACCTTATATTGCTAACAATAAATCTTCTTTATACTTTTACTCCTGATATCTTTATTGGCCTTTATATACCGGACACGATCCCAGATTTGAGCTAGGGCTCAACAGTTTTTGGCACCCCAGATGGGACTACCTTAGATAAGCTTTGCCCGGACTAACTAACGACCAGACACGGCTCCTCCTTATCAAATATCAGGCGCGCCCCGGGATCTCTTTTCCCGGTGAGACTTTTGTTTCAGGGGGAGCTGGATTGCTAAGGCAACAATAGCCTAACGATACAAAGCCATAAAATAAAAATACCAATAACAGACACCTGGATAAAAAGATAAAAAAAAAACATAAAGCCTACCGTCAGCACGCCTGCCTGGGATTATCTCTATAAATATTCTGTCTGGCCCGAGTCCAAAAACAGTGATTTTTCCCCTATAAAAACGAAGACTAAAAACAGATCCCTAAATCCCAGGTAAGTCGGACGGTCAGGACCAAGAAGACAGCCCTGAGATGGATACTATTAACAATAAGGTTAAAAAATATACCCCCCGCTCTTATATATTAAAACATTGGGCAGAGTTTAATAGAGATCCTACAACTAAGAAAAAAACTAAATTCTTCTATAAAACTGCGTGGCCACGCTATCAGCTAGATGATCAAAAACATTGGCCTCCGGAAAAAAGTGTTAATTATAATACCATCTTACAATTGATTTTGTTCTACCGACAAAATAATAAATAAAAAAAATTAATATATACACAGACGTTTATGTCTCTTTATAAAGATAAAAAGGTTTTGGAGGAATATAGATTGGGGATTGGGGTCTATAAGATAGCTGGGGCTCGACCAACTGCAAATCCTGTCCTGGACTGTCCGGAGCCAGAGGCTCTTCCCCCTCTGTTGCCTTTACCATATTCTCTTCCTCTTCCCCCTCCTTCTCCTGATTCATCTGATTCCTCGTTGGCATCTGCTCTTCCTGCTTCTTCCCTCCTGGAGGCGGAGATTAAAAACACTCCCCGACCTAAAAATCTAAAACAACACCAACCCTGGCCGTCAGGTGCTTGGCAATCTCCAGATTCCCCGATTTCTCCTGATATAACCCCGGGAGATAGATAAAAAATACAATTAAAAGCAGACTCCAGGGTTAAAAAAAAAACATCACAGGAAATCTGATCCTAGCCGTGGGAAGGAAATAAGATATTTCCCCTAAAAAAACAAATAATACCAGGGCCTCTCAAAAACAAGAGACAGCCAACTTACCGTCAAACCTTTAAACACATTCCTTTCACTACATCAAATTTATATAATTAATAAAACAATACCCCCAGCTTAAAAAAAAATCCTAAAAAAATACAAAACCTGTTTAAAACAATTTTCAAAACCCATAACCCAACCTGGGCAGATGTTCAGTCTCTTTTAGATATCCTGTTGACACCAGAGGAGAGGAGAATGATAAAAGACAAAGCCTATGAGTACGTGGAAAAGGAAATTACCACAAAAAACTTACAAGGAAATAGGGACGATCATGTCCCCACCCAGGGGCCAGATTAAAAACCAGACCAAGATATGATCTCTATCCGCGCCTATCAAAAATCTATCCCCCGAGGATTGAGAGATACTATAAAAAAACCTCAGAGTTTTAATGAGATATATGAGGTCCAACAAGAGACAAATGAGACCCCGAGTGCTTTCTTAAAAAAAATTTACACTACTTTCAGACAATATACTCGTGAGGACCCGGAAGATACATCAAACGCTCGCATAATAAATATGATTTTTATAGGTCAGAGTACACCGGACATTAAAAAAAAATTACAAAAGACGGACGGAGCAACAAATATGCCTATTTCCCACCTAATAGACATTGCTTACCAAATATTTATTAACCGAAAAAGTGTTCAGGAAAAAAAAAAAAAACAGTAAACTGTTTGCTTTTAAAAAAGATTCAGATTAAAGGGAACCAGAGGCCCCCCCCAAAAAATAACCCAGATCCCGGTGTCCCCTGACAAGCCTCTAGTTAAAATACAACTAAGAGACAAAGATAAATTAATACATTTTCTTGTCAATACAGGTGCTGCCCATTCTGTCTTAACTCAAAAAACTAAAACCTTTAAATAAAAAGACTGTGCAGGTGATAGGGGTTACAGGGAAGGCAATAACACGACCCTTTTTTACAGCCAATGACCTGTAATCTTGGGCAGGCCAAAGTCACCCATCAATTTTTATACATGCCAGACTGCCCCGTTCCCCTTTTAGGGAGAGACCTCCTCTGTAAACTACAAGCTACGTTGTCGTTGCAAGATGGACAAATGTTTTTAACAGTGCCCCCTAAAAAGGGGTGGCATTTATAGGCTTGCCTTCTCGGCCTTCTCCGAGAAAAAAATACACCGGATATTCCTCAAAGCCTGCTCGATGCTGTTGTTCCATAGATATGGGCAGGTCACCGACCCGGGAAGGCTAAAAATGCTGACCCTATAAAGATTCAACTTTTGCCAGGGGCCCAGCCTCCATATATAAAACAATATCCAATGCGGATGGAAGCCAAAAAAAGACTAAAGCCGTTAGTTAAACGGTTCCTAAAATATAACCTTCTCCATAAATACACATCAGCTTTTAACACATCCATCTTGCCTATAAAAAAGCCTAAGAGTGATAAATATCATTTCGTCCAGGACTTGAGAGCTATAAATAAAATAGTTATAAATATATATTCAGCAGTTCCTAACCCGTACACCCTGTTGTCTGCCTTAAATCCAAATCATAACTGGTTTACAGTTATTGATTTAAAAAATGCTGTCTTCTATATACCGGTAGAGAGGGGATCTCAAAAAATATTTACATTTAAATAAAAAGACCCAGATACTAACATCAAGACTCAGTTTTGCTGGACTGTCTTACCCCAAGGGTTTAAAAACAGCCCAACCCTATTCAACACTACATTAAACAAAAATCTACATAAGCTAAAATTGCCACTGTCCTGTGCTCTCTTACAATATATAGATGACTTGCTTTTAACAGCCACCACTAAAACAAGCTGCTTAAAAAAAACAATTTGCCTCCTTAATTTTCTGGGACACAAAAAATACCGGGTGTCCAAAAATAAAATACAGCCCATATCCCAAAAAATTATATACCTGAAATTTAAATTACAGCCTGGTCAGAGAGCCCTGTTGCCTAAAAAAAAAAAAAGCTGTATGCCAGCTAACACCCCCAAAAACAAAAAAAATAATTACGGGGCTTCTTAAATACAGTAGGTTTTTGCAGGATTTAAATTCCAAATTCTGGGGTTATTACAAAACCTCTATATAAAACTACACAAGATAATAAAAAAGTGCTCAAATGGACTGAGGAGTATAAACAAACATTCTGCCAGTTAAAGCAGGCTCTCATTAAAACACCCGCCTTAAGACTACCGGACATAATGCTTACAGTCCTAAAACAGAAAGGAGGGAACTGATTAACCCCGGGACAAATGGCTTAATATCAGGCCATCCTCCTAGATGAGCCTGAAATAAAATTGGCCATTTCTCACACTATAAATCCAACAACACTGCTGCCATCTATGGCTGACACACCAGATCTTATACATAACTACCTACAAACATTAAAAGCTGTTTATTCTTCAAGACCAAATCTAAAAAACAAACAATTAATAAAAAAGTTTCAAACAAAAAAAAAAAAAAACCACGGGTGGCTGGTAGGAAAAGATGGCCGCATTATCATCCCAGCTGCCTGGGTTCATGCGATAATAAAAAACACTCATCATAATACCCACTACAGACCCAGGGCCCTAATAAGATAAATCAGTCACTATATAACTGGAGTGGGATTAAAAGAGGCTGCCAAGGAGATATCAAAAACATGTGAGGTCTGCCAAAAAAAAAACCCAAAAAAACCCCCCCAAAAAATTCAAGACATCAGAGAATAGGCAATGGGCCAAAAAAAAAATAACAGATAAATTTTACTAAGTTGCCCCGGCAACAAGGGATGAGATATCTCCTTGTGTTTGTGGACACTTTCTCTAATTGGGTTAAGTGCTTCCCATGTCGGACTGCCCAAGCCCAAAAAATAGTCAAAACACTCCTACAAAAAATTATACCTCGCTTCAGACTTCCAAAAGGAATAGGGTCAGACAATGGCCCACATTTCATTACACAAATTACTCAGAAAGTTTCTGAGTTCCTAAAAATCAGCTGACATTTACACACCCCTTAGAGACCTCAGTGCAATAAAAAGATAAAACATATAAATCAAACCTTAAAAAGACACCTTACAAAAATTTACCAAGAT